CTGTTAACATACAATGGGGATTCCCTAGCCCCCAAATACGAAGTTTAAACATAATCACTAAAACTACAGAGCAGTGGGTACCTCAGAATGATACAATCAGAGATAAGGAACTTGCGGGGATAAGACAGCTTTAATTGATTTGTCAATCCAGGCGTGAAAGGATTCCAAAATGTGGCAATCTGATAATAAATTTACATCATTAATCTTACACACTAGAAATTGTCTTATCCAGAATAAACAGCATGATAACGAAATAAGACAATGTAACAGTTGCAATGAAAATCTCTTAATAATCAAAGAATTTCCAAATTGTTTCACTTCTCTGGCTTTGATTGCTCACTCCATCTGTGAAATGAAGGTGTATTATACACAATCACAAAAGTGCTTTCCAGCCCCCAAACAGTCCTTGGGCAGTTCATTGTAAGGGAGATAGCTCTGTTGGCTTTATCCTAAGGGGCTTCCATGAGCTTTTCATATGGGTAGAGAGTTTTGGGATTTTTAGAATCCTGCAGGCATCTTTTTAAAAGCTATAAACGGTTAGCTGACATGTGGAAAAGTGACTGAGGAAATAGAGCAAACTGGTTGGCTTAAAACCCTGGGTCCCTCCCTAAGTGGGAGGCGCTGTGGCCAGTTGGGGACACGGAAGACCACGAGGCACTGAACCTAAGCTCAGGCCTGTGAGACACTTCTGGTGGCCTCGTCAGCTTGCTTCCCACTTCACTTTCATGATAATGCCTAGCTGAAATTCCCCCTCCCACATAGGTCCCAACTGATCCTTTTTTCTTTTTCTCGGATCAGGTTTAACTGTCCGAAGGCTGAAAACCATTAAAAAAAAAAAAAAGCGGGGGAGGTATGAAACAAGGAGGAGGGAAGAGGCAGCTGGACTCACAGACTGTAGAAGAGAAACAAATATTTTTTTTTAACTGTCAAAGCCTCAAACAAAGGCTGGACTACTGGTTCCTTGGAGGGTTGATGGGTTTGAGCCATTACCTACATTAGCACTTGCCTCCTCAGGCTGATCTGTTCGTTGGTTGCTATGTGGATGGTGATAAAATATCCATTTGGGTGGGGTCAAAAATTGTGCTACCCTCTCAGAGCACATCTGCGAGTCCTGGCCTTTTGAACAAATGACTGGAGTTCACTAGGCTTCTGTGCTGTCAGAGGCTGCTTCCCAAATACCAACTTTGAGCCTCGTCCTACCATCTGGACACATGGGCGTCCATGAAAAATAGCGTCCAAGGGGCCCGAGAGCATGAGAAGATCTGACAAAAAGTGACAGGTTTTGTCCCGTCTGCTGAAGAGAAATGTACTGAGACTAGAAAGACTAAGGAGGTGCATGCCTTCAGAACGTGTCTGCGGATCAAAATACACACTAACAGAGATTCTTGAGAGAGCCCCCAGCAGCTGTGTTCACCTTGGCATTGTTATCATTAAAAGGCTATGCTCATTTCTGGCACCTAATATTGGACACATTGACAGCAAGAGGGTTGATGGAAGACGAAAGAATCTGTTTTGCAGCTAAAAAAAAAAAAAACAGTTCTCGGATTTCTCAGGCCATTTGAAATCACGCCAGAGAAATACTTGATTTCAGCATTCTTAAGCTCTCTGCGATGATGCCGCAAGTGGTGTCTCCCACGTGTGATGATGTATTTCAGGGCCAGAGTTTTCTCAAGATGTTCCAAGCCTGCAGGCTCCTGATCCTTTTTCAAATTACAAAGATGATCGTATCCCGGTGAGACTTGTGATTAGTCTAAACTCTCCACAGCTGTGAGAGATGCATGTACAAATTCCAATAAAGATTCTGCATGTTCTGGACTGAATTTACCTACACGGCATCGAGGCCTGACTCAGGCACCACTTAAAAGAACCAGAGCTGCCTCATTGCTATTCCATTTCTTCTACACCACTAGCTGCTGGGAGGCTGGCAACTGCTCTGCGAGGATGCCTCCTCTCACACCGCTGTCACTGCCCAGCGCTGGGTATCTATGTAGAAGGTGTGTGATGTGTGGCGAGGAAAGCAGGGCCATGAAAATCAAACCCAAGTACATGGGACTCCACAGAGGCCTTGCAATTTGCTGTGTGAATAGCCAGGAGGATTATAAAACACCTTGTAATTGAAGGGGATGGCCTGGAGCTGTGTGTGACCACAGAAGCAGTCCTTTTACCACCTCTAACTAACTCATTTAGAATGGCGCTAGCAAGAAGGCGGATTCAGAGCATTCTTCAGTTAACTTGGGATAGCCAACACAGCTTTCTTTTCTTATTTTGGACACTTTTTCCCAAAATATTTCCTTGAAATACTAAGTAAATGTAATAAGACACTTCATGCCACTTTTATTTACTATGTTTAAAAATTGTGTCATCTAAAGACTCCTGGCTATCGTCCTTTATGAAACATCTGAGGCTCGGCATGCCTTCCAGGGCTGGGAAAGACAGGGGACAAGGATTCACATCATTGTCTAAAAATATTAATAATTCTAGAGATAATAAATAAGATTCTTCACTTTGAAAACCAAAAAGACCAAAGTAATATACATGGGGTTTTTTTAATTATCTTCTAATATGATTTGCATGAATGCAGAATCTTCCAAAGTCAGGTATACATTCACCATGTACATCCACCTCCACTGTTTATAGAGTCCAGGAAAGTGCACCTGGTATCACTCCTGATATCTGGAGATTTTTAATAGTGCACTATCATTTTCCAGTTTATCACACAGCCATACACAAACGTGATGTGTGGCATTTCTCATTGTAGACACTGAACTTGATTTTCCTCTCTAAAGCAAACCAGAAAGGCAACACAACTGAAGTCAGAAGACCCAGTGAAGAGTTGAATGAGCTGTAAGTGAAATTCTCAAAACACCAACCTCTGAATGATGACCTTTTATTAAAATGGGGGGTGGGAATGGAGGAAGGAGGAAACAAACCCCAGTTTTTTTCCAAAGTCCATAAAACAAAATACACAACTAGAAACAATCCTTCTTTTATATTTTCATAGTCCTTCATGCAAATCTTTTACATGCTAATAGATTATTTCAACTACTGGTGGCATACCTCAGATTTCATCTTTTTTAGAGAAAAATAAAATTATTAATTTAAGCCTGTTAAAATGCTTGGCAACTATGCATTACTCCCCCTGGAACCATATTGTAAGGGCAATTTCAGTATCAAGTGGTTTATTCCTGTGTTTCCGCTGGAGGCCAGTTTCAAGTATAATCACCCAGTGAGGCAACTTGGGGGTAAAAAAACCCACAAAACTTTAAAATATTGAGTGGGAAATTATACAAAATGCCAGGATCCTCATAGCTAAAACAAAGCTGCAGGGAGAATAACCAGGATAGTCCTACAGGTAAGAGAACCATTGCCCTGCTGGGAATATTCAGAGATTGGTCTGATGGTAACATTAGTGGTTTGCTAGCAAGCATGTGACAACCAGCTCTAGAGAGAAAAGCCATGTTTTGTAGCATTTGCAATTTCCCTGGTGTAAATACACCCAGGAAGGCTGACTTCAATCTACCCAAGTGACATCACTGAATGGGAAGTTAAGACAAAATTCACAACAGCAACCCATTGTATAGTATTGCAGATCCAACAGATGTAAATAACTTCAACGGCCTAAATTATAGTAAAATGTGGGGAAATAACTAGACTGTGAACTTGGAATATTCCATTTTTTAATATAGTTCATTTCATTGTAAATTTACATAATTTAATTTTTAACAATGGTTGCTGTTAACGACTCGCTCCCCAAATTCATGAAAATTCAAAGGTGGGCTCTAACCAGCAGGTGCATTCGCTCCATCACACCACTTCATGCTGCTCTTCAGGGACATCAAAAATATTCTGAACAAACAACAAACCAAATAAATGAAGCTACTAATCCACCTGGATCAAACTATCTCTAGAGTTTCCGAGGTTGCTAACCTATCTATCCCACGTTAGCAATACTCAAAGTTCAGGTATCACTGTGAATAGTATTAACAGGAGTGCCCTTAAATGACAATACTTTCTATTTGTGTCACGCATTACAGTTTTCAAAGTAGTGCTTTTATGGCAGTGGGACAGTTTAACCCTGCATAGTGAATCTAACTTAGTGGGTAATAGCATTTTAGCGCCTGGTGGATGAAAAGAGATTCCTGGGAGCTGTTTGTACAAGACAGAGGCGGAGGGGTGGAGCTGGGAGCCAGGCAAGGAAGCCGGGAGGCTGGTCGGCTGCCCCAGGGTTCCCGGTTCCCTCCTGGAAATGGTTCCATCCCTCTGCAAACAGGTGTACATCAGTACTGGGCTTTCCTCTCTCTCTTCCTGTTTTCTGACTCTAACTTTAGCGATTTTATTCGAATTTCGTTTTTTACTGACGGAAAAAAAAGGGGGGTTGGATAGAATATGCTCTAAGAGCCCTTCAAAAAGCTAAAATTATTACTGTCATAACATTCAAATATTCTGACAGAACAGCTCTGTAATGTTTTCCTCGTGATCCAAACATACCTGTTACTGTAGCAGACATTTGTGTGCAGACTCTAGGCAGATCTCACGGCCAAAATTAACATCAGCAGTAGTCGTGGCCGAGTGGTTAAGGCGATGGACTAGAAATCCATTGGGGTCTCCCCGCGCAGGTTCGAATCCTGCCGACTACGAAGAGGTGAACTTTTGCTACGAATTCTCCTTTTCGTTCTGCAGGCTTCTCCACAGTTATTTAAGGAATTTATGAATGACTGGAATTTAACGGGGACCCCCCCACCACACACACAGTGGGGCCAAAAGAGGAGTGGGTGAGTGACCTGGGGAGCCGTGTGATTGTGATTACCACCTAAGTCCAGCAGGGAGAGTTGGGACAAAACACGCCACACAATCTGGAACGAAGGGAAAAAGGCGGCACGGCGTCGCGCAGGAAGGGACAGCTACGACCTCCGCTCCCCGGGGAAAGCCGGGTTGCCCGGGGCCTCGCGAACCCACCACGTCCTCTCGCGCGAGCGCGTCAGCGCCGAAGCCTCGCGGAACGGCGCGCGCATGCGCAGGGGGGCGAGGGCGCGCGCGGCGGGACCTAGCGTTGCCTCTGGCAACTACCCAGCGCTTCTACGACCAGAGTTGGGTAAGGACTTGACGATTGAAGATGGCGGAGGACCTGGACGAGCTCTTGGATGAGGTCGAGTCCAAGTTTTGCAGACCAGACCCACTGAGACTGGACATGGTCGAGCGACCCAGAGGCGGCAGCGGCGGCGGCGTCCTGAGCAACGACCGGAACCGGGCCGGGGAGAAAGAGAATCTCAGGTTAACGGGCGGGAGGGGTGGGCTGCCCCTGTAAAGCCTGCTCCGGGCCCCAAAGCCACCCCTCCGTCGCTTTACCCAAAGAAACGTACCCCGGCCCGCCACGTCCAGTTCCTCTTCCTGTTAGGGCCCAGACCCTCAATTCCCCACTCCTGGGGTAGCTCACACTTCCACTCCCCTACCTGGAGGATCCTGGCATCTCTTCCCAGAGCCCGACTCCGCCCCGGGCAAGCCCCAGAGCCTGGCTCCGCCTCTGAGCGCCCGCGCGGCTTCACGCTGCCTTGTCTCCCACCCCGACAAACCCCAAGGGGTTCCGCTGGGTGAGAGGGGCTGCAGCTTGGGCCCTCGTGAGCCCCGAGGGCGTCACGGTGACCCTGGCCCCCATCTGTCTGAGCCGTTATCATCCCCTTTTGGGGTTCCCGGATGGAGAACCTCATCCTGTTCCCGTGACCCCATCTGCCAGGCAGAACAATCCTTGGCCTAATTGTTGGAGGAAAAGATTCCATTTTATTGCATCATTAGTTTATTTTTTTTAATTCAGAGAACTGGATGAGACTAGCTTTATGATAAAAAGGGTTTAATTATTGACAACACTGTCTCTATTAATTCAGCCACCCTTCTTCTCCCCACGGCCCCAGCTAAGGGTCCCCGGGGAGTTCGCAGGCATCCAAATTGAAATGTGACGAATTTTCTTAAGCCTTGATTTTTAATCCAAAAAACTATCTTTCAAGTTTGTCAGTCATTTTTCATATGTGTAATTATAAAATAATAGGACTTTCTTCTTTATCTCATTTCCCTTCAATCCCAAAAAAACAAAATTTTTGCCAGAATGAGTATCGTCCTTCAAAGTGATGGCTTGGGAGCCTCTGCAGTAACTCTTGCTTGAATCACTTGATAATGCTTGTGGCAGCTTTGGAACAACCCAAGAAAGTCGTTCTTGTTCATTTATGGCTACATCTATGGGTTTTGTTTTGTGTATCTGTGATTTCCCAAAAGCATTACCCAACACCATTGCTACCCAGTTACTTCTGATGACATTTGCTTGTTTATAAAAATTCACCTTCAAAAGATAAAAACGTTGGAAAGAGTAAGGTTCAGAAACAGAAGTTCTGGAAGTTAGTTGAGTATTGGGCAGTATTCTAAAAAAATAAATGACAGCTAAAATGACTGGGCTAATGCTCATTAGACTATTTATGTAAATATCACTCTCATTAATTTGTATATTATTGTCTTGTGTGCTGCAGGTGCCTTATGTACCCATTCCCAGCACATCTGTCATCCCTGTCCCACAACAATGTTACCAGCAATTTCTTTTGGTCTTGTTATTCATTCCTTTGGGGGATGGAGAGAGTTTATCAAAGAGCCTTCCAGAGCCTGTTCATCTCAGGAGAACTGGTGCAGAGGAGTAGGATGTCTTGGAGCAGGCTGCTCAGAATGGAAAGGGTTACTAAGGTGGACAGATCCTCTCCAAGCACAGATCCTCTTAAGCCTCTCTGCCTCTCTCCATAGCTTCTTGTTATACTACTGAAATCTATCCATAATGCTTCTAGCACCCCCATGCCACCTTACTACATCAGATTTTTCAATAATAAATTTATAAAAGCTGTAGCAAACCAGTACTGTTGTCATTCATGTGTTAAAACTTTTCATTTGTCAGTGTAGTTGTAAAGATAAATTATGCAAACGGCAGCAACAAAGATCCTAAACCTAATAACAAATACAGTCCCTACCTGGTATATAATGTCAAACAAAAACGTTAAAATTTTGTCCTGAGCCAAAGTTAATACATGAAAGTTAAGAGCTACTTTATATTATGAATGTATTAAATAGGAGACGATCTGCCACTTGTATATTGATATAACTTATATCTCTTTTTCTTATAAGAGTTAAAATTCTGAAATTTTTGTCTCTTAAAATAGTATCTCTGCAAATAATAAAATAAATGACCATGCCACATCTGGATACCAGGGACAACTGCTGATATAAATGGTCAGAACGTATGCACTTTGATGAAGTGTACAAAATGATAAAGAGAATTATGCAATTCGTTTTTTTTTTAAGCCTGATGTGGGTTGAACTGCAATAAGAATAAAGTGGTTCAGCATGATACAGATAATATCCTAGATAATAAGCTATAATAATAGCCAACATTTATTGAGTCCTTCTGTATGCCAAGTGCCTTATATGTGTTATTTTATTTAATCTCCACAGCCTTGTGAGGTGAATAATATTACTATCTTCATTTCACTGACCAAACCAAGACTTAGAAAAATAGTTGACTTGCCCAAGGTCATATTACCAAGTCCACCAAGACATTGTACCCACACCTAAGCTTTTATATATACCTTTCACATTTAATTGTGGGTTTCAAGTGTTTACATTTATTTTACTTAGAGGGTATCTTTTATTTTCGACAGAAACTGTATTTTAAATCAAGATTCAATATAAGAAGCAAATTTAGGGAAGTAACCAGTAAATGTGTATTAACCTGTGATTAAGATTATTGTATTATAGCATAAAAAGACCAAAAAAAATTACACTGTCCTTTAAAATTTGTATGCTTCCTCAACAAAATGACAACATTTTCCCTCCATTTCTATAGCAAAGCATAAGCAAGCGAAGGCATTATGAAATTGTGTGGTCTAAAAACAGACCAGAATCTTATGTCAGCTGGTAGCTTGGATCCCTAACAGTAGTGATTAGGTTGGTAAGATTTGAATGCATCTGATTCTCGAAATTGTGAAATTGCATGAGAGGAGAACCCAGAGAGTACATCATGACAACCAGAGGAGAGAGTTTCTAGAGGCCATCTTTGCAAAATACTGTCAT